ATCCACCGCTGGATGAGACCCCTCTCCCATTCCATTTGGGTCGTGGGGGTTATTCGACCGTTCACGCTGCTCCTGTGTTTACTCTGGTTACCATACACGGTGCATTGGGATCTATGGATGAAATGCGCCTGACAAATTTACATTTCTAGATTAGAAGTTTTCGTGACCGCAAGGAGCCATACTCTTTGGTTCTTTCGGGTAAAGTCACGTGGGTGCAAAAATAAAAATAATCGAATTAAATCACGACGCTTCGGAAGCAACACACAAGCGTCCGTCATCAGGTGGGACAACCACAGCAAAAAAAACCCTAAAAATTACTGTAGTGGGCAAAGATGTACATTATGTTTATTAAACTTCACCATGCCGATGAATAGATGTTGGTAATGGCTGGGATCACAGATCGATTTCGCTGGACTGCCATGTGTTGTATTAGTCGATACAACTGCCACCCGATGAGCCACTCAAATTGGCTGGGCTTTGGAGCTCCCGCCATATACAATTTGACTTAACTGGTCCCACGGCGATTTGTTTTACTTGGCAATGTAATCATAATAAGTTTAGTAATAAGAAAAATTGTTACATTGTTATTTAATGTTGCTGCTGAAGTGGTTGACTTGAGCTATTTGATTTCATACAAGTTTAAGTTATGATCACCATATTGTTACTGAACTAGCGCAGTGGTTAGCATACAAATTTACAACCAGTATAGTTAATTATTACGTAATTACAATGATCGATACATTTACAGCGAAATCGGATCTGGAATGTAATTTACCCAATAGTCATTGTATTAATACATATGCTTTTACGTCCACAACCATACACACGGACATGCGCACACACGGACATGCACACACGGACATGCACACACACACATGCACACACACACACATGCACACATACACACACGGACATGCATACACACACACGGACATGCATACACACACACGGACATGCACACACACACGGACATGCACACACACACACACGGACATGCGCATACACACACACGGACATGCACACACACACGGACATGCACACACACACGGACATGCATACACACACACGGACATGCACACACACACACACGGACATGCATACACACACACGGATATGCACACACACACACACGGACATGCGCACACACACGGACACACACACGGACATGCACACACACACACGGACATGCACACACACACGGACATGCACACACACACACGGACATGCACACGGACATGCATGCATACACACGGACATGCACACACACACACGGACATGCATACACACACGGACATGCACACACACACACGGACATGCACACACACACACGGACATGCACACACACACGGACATGCACACACACACACACGGACATGCACACACACACACACGGACATGCACACACACACACGGACATGCATACACACACGGACATGCACACACACACACACGGACATGCACACGTGCGCCCACAGCAAGCACCCCTTCTTCCACATGTGCCTGCAGGTGGGGCTCATTGCCGTGTTCAAGTCGTATCCAAGTGTGGGCGACCTCGCCCTCTTCCTGGCACTGCTGCCCATGTGGACTCACCTCAAGTGCTGTGAGACTCGAGAGCCACCCAACCACCTGCCCACATACCCACCCAACAATCTCCTCACCTACCCACTCAACTACCAGCTCACATACGCAATAAATCACCTGCTCACCTAACCAGCCGCCTACCCACCCACCTACCTGCTCATCCACCTGCCCACGTATTCACCCACCCAACAATCTGCTCACCTACCCAGCCAACCACCTCACCTATGCAACCAATCACCTGCTCGCCTTCCCAGCTGCCCACCCACTCATCTAGTCATCTGCCTGTCCACCTACTCACCCACCCATCTGCTGACCCAACTTAATTTTCAGTTAAGGTTTGGGCTAGAATTTGAGTTTTTGTTAGTGTTCGATGTTAAAGTTATGGTAAGGGTTAGAATTCAATTGAAGTGAGGCTTATAGAGAGTGTTATGTGAGGTTAGGGTTGACATGAGTGTTGTGTTAATGATAGTCTTAGCACTATGGCTGTAGAATTACCAATAATGCTGTCCAGGTGCAGCCGGCGAAGCTCTTGAGAATACGTATGTGGGTGCCTCTGCCTTCTGTGTGGGCCTCCCCTAGGTCGACTTAGCCTCAAGCGAGTACCTGGTGCGGTGTGTAAACATCGCCACTGGGGAGACAAAGGCGCGGGCCGGGCGTGGTGCTGGCCACCCACCCCCTCGTGTGCCGTGCCGGCCTTCATAGGTGCTGCTCGCTAACAGCACTTGCCCCAACAGTCTGTTACAGCTCCACGAGGGATGTTGGCCTTTGTTCTGTGTGTGTGTACGTATGCGCGCTCGCGTACCCTTGCCTGGCAGACCTGAGGAACACGCTGCTCGTCACGTGCCTGCTGGTCGTGTGCTCCGTGCTCTTCCCCGTGCTCTGGCACCTGTGGATTTTCTCCGGCAGTGCCAATGCCAACTTCTACTACGCCACCACGCTCGCGTTCAACACGGGACAGGTGGGCACCACCTCCTCCCCTGCCGCCACCCCTCCCGCACGGCCCACCCGGTGCCCGTCGCTCAGTGGCGTAGCTATCGAGTGTGAAGGCGGTGCAACGGCACAGGGGGGGGGGGGGTGGGCACACAAGCTGCGGTCTTCAAATCCTAGCCGTGGCTAACACCGGTGAGGGCTCAACTTTGCCCACCCACGGTGACCAGCGGGGCGAAGTACGGTCAGGCATCCCTCACGGCCGACATGCCGTAGGGAAGCTTTTATCTCTCGGTGGACTGCTAAAGGGTTGTACATTGCATTGTTATATTTAAGTTGATAGAAATCACACAAAAAAACAAGCCAAGAGCAGAATACAAAACGAAATGATAAAAATTATACCGAAGAAATATTGTTTCTTGAATCGAATAATGACCGCTGGTTTGTGACAATCAAATTGCTTTGGAGATGTGTGTTGTGATCTGCCTAACGATGGAAGACGATGGTTGGACATGCTGTGTGTGCAGATCCTCCTCATATCCGACTACCTCTACGCCTTCCTGCGACGAGAGTTCCACCTCTTTCACGGCCTACGCGTCAAGAGCGACGACGGCAAGGACTCGTACGTGCTGCTCAAATGAGATTCAACAATCTCGACGACGAGAAATTCTTTCGACAGCAGCAAAACTATCGCCGAGGCTGGACTTGAGCGGGGGCCGTGCAGATCGAACGCAACTCTCGCATCTTCAGTACTGAAGGGCCCTCTCTTCCCCCCCCCACCACCACCACCACCACATCCCAGCTCTCCCACCAATCCACCGTTTTGTGCGGTTACCACATGTGAATCGGGAATGGATCGCCACGCGAATAAAAGGCGACGGAATCTCCACCGGTGGTGATGTCGCACGAAGCGATGCTGTCCAAAACAAGCATTCGTGTATATTTGTGTTTTCTGCCACAATGGCTTGCTGCTATCACGACGTTGCGAGCAAGCAAGCACCGAATAACTGCTTCATGTTCGGCAGAAATGAAAGAGCTGAATAAATACTAAAGACCTTAGGGCACTGCATAGTTTTAAACTGATTGCCATCAATGTATCATCTGTGCTGTCTGTTATCTGTCCAACATCTATCTTGGAGAACAATTTGGGAAAGATCATGCATACATTGGCATTCAGTAATGATGTTCAACATGCGTTTGTCTTAAAAAGCATTTATATTCGTACGGAATCTGATGGGTAGTTGTCAGGGGTAAAACACGTTTGCTTGTTTGCAAATGGGTCCTTTTGCACTGGTTTGCAATATCCCTTGGATCAATTTGGCCGTTTTTAAAAAGACAGCTTGGAACGTATTGCATCATCTTTACGAAAGTCAGTCACCCCGCCCACCCCACCTTCCCCACAGAGCTGATGCGTCTCAATGCTCTCAACCTTCGTTGGAAAGAGTTGGAAAACATGCGGTACAATTTGGCTTCAGCTTGGGGAGGTAATGCGAGTATTTCTGATTTGGCCCAATCGTGAAAGGCGACGGTGTACAATCCTACTTGCAGGACTACGTGACGGTTTAATTTAAAACGAGTTACGTTTGTGTTCTTTCTGTTTATTTTGTAATACGTGTTTTGGATTTGTATGTTTGGAGACTGATCAGGGGCAGGACTGTCTTTTACACAAGTAGAATGACCAATTATCTGTATCGATGATTGACTCCAAACCCGTAATGCGGTGAATGCACTACGCGGCTACTCTTGTCGGAATCGTTTTAATAAAACGCAAATGTGTTGCTCGGCCAATGCGTCTTCTTTCTTGGTTAGGTTTTGTTGTTAATATGCACGAGTTTGAATTCCTTAAAGTTTGTTTGGCTAGCCATCGAACAAAAACAGTCACCGGCATCGCGTGCTTTCAGATGTGCTTCTATGGCCGTCTGGAACGTTCTTCCTTTCGATATTAGGAAGTCACTGTAGCTATGCACTTTTAAGTATAGTTTGAAAACTCATTTTTTTTATAACTGCTTGTTTAGTTTGTTGTCCTTCCCTGCACCTCCAATGAGCATGGTTGGCTGCGTACGGTGTGAAAAGAGTTCAAAGGACCACAATTATAACAAATATCCTGTTTAGAATGAGCGTGGTTGCAGGAACGTATTCTCGTATCGATGTATTGCCTGTTTAGTGAGAACGTTACGTTGGCGACTCCCACGTATCCATTTACAATCTGTTTTAGTGGTGTACTTAGTCTGCACGTGTAGAAATGTGTAACGTTTTAATTTTGCATTCGACCAGACCAGCGCATGTACAAATTTACAAGTATGTGGGGATCATCCATCCATGTTGTAATGTGTCGTTTTTAAAGGCCCACATCAAATTGTCATTAAGCCCATTTGTTAATAAACGCCCTGGTAATTTGCCGTTGAAAGTCGACGTGTTAAATTGCCCCGACAGCGATCTTCCAGGTCTGCGAAGTGGTTCATTGAACACGAATAAAACTCGCACGACACTTTTTCCTCTCTCCTTCCACTTTTATTACATCGGCACAAGTTTAAACTTATTATTATAACAATATACTCCTTAGGCATTTTATACATATATAATGGAAACAAACTCAAGCATTATCAGATGAGCATGCTACGGCCCCATACCTCCATCCCCCTCTCCAGCACTTCCAGTGGCTTTGCCGTCTAAGTGTGCAGGCGGTGCAACTGCACCAGGAACCAGGGGCCAGGCACCGAACCATGAAGAGGGGAACATTGGGCAAGGGGTTGCCCCATTTCTTTCCTTGCAGCAAGGTCCATGCCAACCACACGACGCCACTGCCAGCACTCCTTGAATTTCGGCAGTGGTGGGGGGGGGGGGTTAGTGAGTTACAATAATTCAGTGGTTCTCAACAGGGGGTACATGTGATTGATCAAGGTGAAATTATATACGAGCCATTGGTGAATAATCATGTATGAATCTGCCAATATAAAATAACGGCGATTTAATTTAAATCCATATGGTAACCTAGATCGATATAAGCGACCTTTGTAAACTCATTGATCGTACACAGTCGTTTCCAACAGCAACCAGCGGGCGTGAACAAGTGACTTCATGCATGCAGAGCGTACGATTATTTTCTTTTAATCCCTTGCAGTGACTTAGCGAGTTAGGATTACCTTACAAAATGGACAATTCGTTAAAATGTTGATGTTCATTCTTCATGCATTTATTTCTCAGAACCATGTTGGGGGCAGGCAAGAGGGTACACACTCGATTGAAACTAAATTTAACAAGGTGGTGTAACGGTAGTAGCCACCACAGGTTGAGAACCACCAGTGCTCAAGCTATAGCAGGTTCATATTCTTGGTTCTTTCGGTAAAGTCACGTAGAGAGGAAAAAACGCCACTTTCTTAAAAAAATTATTACCGTGGTTTTCACACCTGATGATGATTGCTTGTGTTGCAGTCAAAACGTCGTGAGAATTGTATTGTTTTATGTTTTTATTATTTTATTGTTTCCCCTCTACGTGACTTTACCAAAAGAACCAAGAATATGAATCCCTGCAGTCACGAAAGCTTTAAATCAAAATCTGCAGCAGGTTGTTACAATTATTAACGATATGCCATCATTTATCTGTCACGTTTCGAATCTTCTCCGTACGCAGCCTCTGAAGGGATTGTGTATCGATGCCACTACGGAGTGGTGCGATTTCTCTGCCCAGAATGAACTAAAACGCTGCTCCGATGGCACGCACGAAGTACTGTAATGCAAATAAGTCGTTTCTCTGTCCCAAGGGAGATTACAACCATGGATGACTGCTTCATGGGGAAAATACTCGCCAGAGTTCTTGCATTGGCTATACGAGAGTACAGTACTTGCACAACTGCTATGATTTGTTGAGTCCAGGACACAACGTTTCCTATAATCACCGGCCACGTGATGCTTTGGGGACAGGGCCCGGTCTGTTTCATCACAGAAAAACAAGGAGCCTACGTAAATGCGAGCAGAGACTATCTTCTGCAGTACTTTTTTTTTTTTAGACCACGTACATTCAGAATTTGAATATTCGTATGAAATAAAAAATTCCAAGATTTGCGCATGACATTATTAAAGTGGTCGTTAATAGACATGGTCCGCAATTATACATTTTAGAAGACGGCTACTTTTGGTCAGCCATCTCTCACGATGTGAACAAAATAAACGCCTGATAATGCGCGTAAGATACGCTATTGGATGAAGTTGCAAATAATGTATTGTATCGAGTCTTATACAGTGGTGGTAGGCTAAATCCTTCAGAGCCACCTACGTGGAGATTTTGGCGTGAAAAATTATGCAATGTTATACTGCACATCATTGTTAACGTGGATGATTTTGCACCTTTCCCACCGGTATTCGTCTTCATCTGAAGATACCATCCGCCCCTACTTCAATGCAAACCACTGCTGCCCTAAAACTCTGCAGCCAATTCAGTAGCTTCAACTTGATCCGTCACCTCTTTTCCACGCGGGGGTGATGTCACCTCCATTGCCACACCCCATGAATCGGTCCCCTAGACCAATAAGGATCGGTGGCAGCAGTGTTGTTGGGAGCTTTAAAGAGTTTCACAAAGTGCCCTCCTTTCCGACACACGTGTAGAGAGCCTCACAGCTAAACGCTACGCAACTTCGAGATCCAACCGAAACGTCTCCTGCAAGGGAGACCGAAGGGTGCGAGAATGGAGGGCGTGGTGATCCGGTTTGGGTACTCTCTCGAAGACAGCTGTGGCTCTTAGGTTCTTGGCAATAATGGAATAGCAGAGGTTGGATTCGAGCAATGCCAATGCACACGGCATTCGTTTTTTTTTGTTGTGTATGCAATGCAAATGTATAAATGGTTAACTACATTTGTTTAATGTTCGCTGTGCACAAGGCCAACAAAAACCAAAGCAACAAACGCCACGACGGAGTTACTACATCTCTGGAATTGACAAACGTTGCAAGAACTTGGGAAGAGACGACGGAGTGAAGAAGCGACCTGCAGTATGTTGTTTGAACACGGCAGGGACGAGACAAGTCAGAGGTAGTGCTAAACATGGGTGGAGGAATCAATCGGTGACGTTCACGTTGACAGAAACCAGACAAGTGGTGATAGGAGAGTGACAATGAGATGGCTGACCGCCAGCGAGCGACTGGAATGGGTTAAGTACCGGGTTCAATCAATCCGACGACGGCTTTATGTTGTGCAGGAAGGCGATTCCAAGAGACTGGCGCAGGACAATTCTGCCTCGGTTCGGCAAGACAAGATTCAGGGCAGAAGAGACACCCAATGCGGTGGTAATAGTGTGCCGCTGCTACCGAAGGGCACGTAAAGGTGCATTGATTAATATGCGCACCAGGTGCGCACATCAAATTGTACGCACGAGAAAAACAGTATTTTCAATCTGTGCAAATTATATACCGTTTCAACTGAACGGTGCACATAACTGTACAAAAGAGGCAAAACAATGTTTATATATATAAAAAAATCGATTCTTTACTTGAAATGTAATGCGGAATGTGACAATTTATTCCCTGCGCGAGTTCATTGTTACTTCTATATTTCCGCCTCCAGCCAGACTCGGTTTTTCTTCGCTGGAATGGATGTGGCACGATTAAAACAAAAAACCCCACAAGGCAAAATGCGTATGGAGTCACGGTTATGGTTGTGGGTTATGATTGTAGGGTTACAGATAGAGATATCAATTCTCTGTGGCAGGATTTCACAGAGCAGCAGTGATTCGCACGAGGGACCCCCCCCCGCCCCGCCCCGCCCATCCCCTCATTATCGATTAAGCGTTCAAGCAGGAACTGCAGAAGCCACATACACCGCACAATCACGACGGCAGGAGAGCGCTGTGCCATCTACCGCGGCGGGCACAGCACAAAAAATAAAGCTTTTCTGGGGGGGGGGTGGGGGTGGGAGGGGGTGAAGCGCAACATTTAGCACCAATCACTGCATACCGACACCGCCGCACAAATTGCCACTCGATTGATTGAAATTCGCGAGCTCACGATGACGACACAAGGAAGAAAAAAAACCAACGCTCCATTACGGGCACACAATCCATTGCTTTCCTTTTAAGCCGTGAATTCCGTTTTTTTTGTTTGTTAACGCGAAGATGATTGTACCAATAACAATTATTTACATTCCACAACAGCAAGGCCATTGCAAACTCATTGCACTGAACACTTAGAACCGGCGCCGCTCTCGACGTAGCAGCGTCGCAGGGGACCCAAGGTCGGTCAGCCCGGCCAGGCAGTTTGGATCCACCACGTGTTTCCCCTTTTTACTCTCTCCCCGGGCACTTAACTCCAACCTGCGCTCAGTGTGGGGGAGCGGGGGAGGGAGCTGTTCTCGCTGGGGAGTTGGTAAAACACGCAACGGACCAAGTCGCCTACGCGGACTGAACTCTGGAGCCGTCGAGTGGCGCGTCGACGCACTGTCACGGGTCGCCCCGTCGTTGCCACAATCAAGTTTTCGTGCCTCCCGGAAATATTCTTAAAATAAGGAGCTCACGATTTAGTTCGTGGGGTACTTTTAACACTCGCAGGTGGGCACACCATCACCATCGTTGATATCGATAGTAAAACAATTATTTTACTCTTTTTATTCCAGCGCGAATGAACCGACCTCGGCTTTTGCCTTTCACTCATGCAGCTGGGGCCAATTAAATCTTTCTTTGGGATGGGGTAAACATCTTTTCAAAAACAATGAAGCACTTTACCTAAAACTTAAATTCACTTCTGACGTTCAGCAGCTCTTCCCTTTGACAATTTCACATTCCGAGAAATCGTGCAGACCGTCTTTAAGGATCTGGGGCTAAAGTTCCCCACTGGGAAGAATGTCACTTCGATGATCTGAAAGAGCGAGATTTATCTGTAATGTTGGTCCCCCCCCCACTTGATAAAGATCAAATTTAAGGAGAAACTTTGTCGACGACTTCTGCTCGAGACAGAGCCACCTGCTCCACGTGTTGGCTGAAACCGAATTCCGCCGAAATTCAGCCAGGAGGGAAATGGACGATCGTGAAATAGCAGCGACGTCACCATTTCTCCGTCAAATATCGGTGGACAATGCGTTTCCACCAACAGATGAATCGCGCCTCGGGATTTTACACAAATACCGGCTTCTGGACATGTTCATGTTACGCAAGCATCACTTCCTTTCTTTTGCTGCTTCATCTCCATACAGTAAATAACGTTCCTCGCTAGTGCAAAATCCTTTAAACATGGAGCATCGACCCCCTTAATTTTTCACATTAATAAACGACCGCATCCAAGCGACTCCACAGCCCACCAACTTTTTTTCACCTTATCCCCCCCTATCCATTCCACAGCTAGTTCAACCCTTGGGAATCACGTACACAGGTCATGCACTGTCAGACAGTCACTCAACACAGCCCCTTTTTTCTCTATCTCTCATCACTTCACCGTTTTAAAATCGGCCGTGTGCTCAAGGCAACGCAAACGAGAGCAACGACGCATTAAGCGTTTGCCGCTTAAAATCGGCAATCGGATTCAAATAAAACGCTACATTTTGGAATGGAGAAAGGTTTTTTTTTTCACGTGAGCAGCACATTTAAAACCTGTCGGAATGGGTGGGCTGCTGCCAGCAGCTCCACACCAGTATCACAGTCTGCCGAGGATTTCTGATAAAAAACAGTAGAAATTCAGTAAAAGAACGCAAACTTAAATGCCCCTCCAAGACGCGAGGTGGCATCACTTTAAAAAAAAAAAAACCCCCGATACATTCTGGGTTTATTTTTTTTTCCTTCGGATGAGCAAAACACTCTTGCGTTCCCGTTTGTGTGACCTGTTTCACTTTATAACAACGAAAAAACGTACTACAGTCCAATTAAAAAAATATGTACACACGCACAGGTAAAAAAAAAATATTACAACACGGTACAAAAAATTGTTGGGGGGGGGGGGTTTGAAAACAAATATTCATTTCGGCCCCAATTCATGCGCCGGTAAAACATCGCTGCCAATTTTTGGCAAAAAAAAAAAAAACCCAGCATCAAACGGTCGCTACGTTTTACCGATTTGACCGTTTTTCTCCAAATACCGTTCCAGCGCACGGACGAGGTCCTGGACCCTCGCAGCCATCCCCTGAAGTTTGTGATCCAGAGTAAAACTGCAAAATGGGATTTCCACATGGGGATGACACGTGGACGCGCACGCCAAGGCAATGGATCCACAAAGGCCAATTGAGAACGACCATCGCCCACAAAAACCGGCACAGGCAAATGTTGCCGCGCCATTGCCCGAAATGTTTCCTATCGTACGCTTCCCTCTTTACGGCAGTGATATTGACAAATGTGATGAGTGTTTGTAAGATTTCTATTGTAATTCCAGGCAGGTCTGACGATCGCCCTCCATAGTGGGCAAATGAGGGCGACTTCCAATCAGATCACAGGCAGGCAGGCCCACGTGACCGTCGTGTGCTCTGTTGACCAATCGCAGCTCTTCAAAACAGATCTCCTTCACTTTACACCAGGGGTGTAGAGTGGGCCATTTGGTGTTGCCCTGCCAAGGCAACCGCAGGCGGGACTCGAAATTCAATAAATCTAGGTAGCAAAACCTGGAAAAGCAGTTGCGAGTAGCAACATCATCGTCAATAGCCAGCTAACATCGTCACACGCCTCGCCAAAGAGAAACAGCTCCAGCCATCACATTAGGGGGTGAGTTAATTAAATGTTTGACCAAATATAAACGGGCTAATTTTTAAGTTGATCATTCTGTATGGCCCGCGAGTGGCGTTATATAAATATCCAAATGGCCCTTGGCAGAAGAAAAGGTTCCCCGCCCCTGCTCTACACGAACGGTTCCCAACCTGCGGCACAACAGAACACGAGGACCCGTCGGGATACGCGTGGCATATCTGAGGGGTACGCGAGGCCAATCGCGTACTGGAGTAGGGTGAAGCGAGGTCACGAGGCAGCGCTAGCTCTGCGTGCGTGTTTGCTCGCGACTCTAAAAGCCACACGCTTATCCGTTGCGTTTCATTTTGCGAATCCATGCCTCCATCGTCCATGCGCGGGGGGAGGGGGGAGGGAGGATCCCCGATTCCTCTCGTTTTTCACATTATTTTATAAGTTTCCAAATAAATAAATGAATCTTCAAGACCGTCAGAAAATATCTTAAACATTCCATGCTCAGTGAACCTCAGCCAGTCTCTTCTGCTTCATAGTGACTCGGCTAAACATTGCACAGTAGAGTTTAAACATGTTTTTTTTAATTAAAGGGTAAATATTAAATTGTAAATATTTAGTTATATTTGAAAGTTATTAAGTGTTCACTAAGTGTCTTCGGTGATAATTATATATATATATTTGTAATACATGTCATTATTATGCTGTATTGTATTCAACTATTTAATTGAATATAAAACCTATATGCTGAAAGGGTACGTGGAAAGGTGATAGGTACGGTCAGGGTACACGGACAAATGAAAGGTTGGGAATCGCTGCTCTACGCCACTGCCGTACCCAAAAGGTGCCGTTTTCGCTCCCGGTTTAAAACGCATTGCCGGTGGACGCCCGCCAAGCAACGATCGCCGCTAAACCTCCCGAGCGGACCCCCCACGCGGCATCCCCTTACGGACGCGGCCTCGCCGGGCCGGACGCCTCCCCCCGTTGGCGCGCGCCGTACGGCCCCAGCGCCGCTCGCCGCACCTGCCGCTGTCCCTGCCGGCCGTAGGCCCCGTCCTCCGCGGCCGCCGCCGCCGCCGCCGCCGCCGTCGCCGCCGACCCCCCACGCGGCTCGGCCCTTCGCCTGCGCCGCGACGGAGAGGAAAGCCGACCGTCGGCTCCATCGTATGCCGAGCCGGCGGTATCGGCGGTATCGGCGGTGGTGGCGGCGGCGGTATTGGTGGGACTGGCCGGCTCAGAGGCTGGGTGGCGGCGGGTAGAGTTGGCGGTGCGGCGAGGGGGAGGAGGAGTGGTGGTGGTGGTGGTGGTGGAGGACACCGAGGGGACTGGGCTGCGGTGAGTCCCTGGCGAGGCGAGGCCGGCGCCGAGGCTGAGAGCGATCGCGGCGTTCACCCGGTCGACAAGCGAGTCCATTTGCTCCTGCAGCATGACACGTGTAAAAAGGCACGCATACACATGGAGGATTTTCACTCATCTACATTTATTTTTTTACTAATTAACGTCATAACCCACAAACCACACAACAACCGCCATTCGCCACTAAGTGGCCATGGCGCTTGTGCCAGGCTATGTGCACTTCAAGGCCGCGTGAAGTGACGAATGCCCGCTGGCAGGAGCTCACGGGACAGACCCAGGTGCCGTGGGTTGACCGACTTCCAAATTGCTGTGTTTTAGCCGCCCGGCACTCCGTTCGTTGTTGTGAGCGTCGCTCCTCCGCCCTCCGTTGTTACTGGATGGCGACCGCCTCCAACTGCCCAGTAGCGTCCTTCACGTGCCTCCTCCACAGAGGCTCATCTCTTGACATCGTCGTGAGAAAGAGGGCTCTCGGCTTGCAGCGTGTTGCGTGTTTTATTGCGCGGCGTTGCCGTAACCGCGCGCACGTCTCTCTCACCTGGTCGTAGCGGTACATGAGCTTGAGACGCCGGCAGGAGCCCTGCTCCTCCGTGCGTGCCAGCGCGCAGTGCAGACAAAAGACCACGTTCTCGCTCTCCTCCACCACCGGCGCCACCCCCCAACACGATTCACACGCGGAGGCAAACCACAACACAGCAGAGCGAGTGAGCATTCACAACTCCTGTACTTCAAATAGACATACGATACGTTCCCACGAGCAGTTCCACAAATGAGACAACCTCACAGTCGGAATTTTGAAATCACCCCCCAAGATGGTGAACTTTCGATTGTACGCGGCCGGTTTATCGGGGTTGCGGATTAACCGTGCTTACAAAAACAATTCCCAAGTATGCTGGTTCTGTAATCAGCTGCTGCTCCTCAAGTCGAGGGTCGATGTGAGCGTCTGTCCCCAGTCTTTGCACCTTTTCTACCTGCTCCCCGCTCCCCGCTTGATTCCCACCCACTCCATGCTTCCCAAAAGTTGGTCATGCACTCCCTGCTTCCTGCCTGCTTACTACAAACAACCCTGAAGCGCGACTTTGTTTGAAAGTGAAGCCCACACAAAATCTCAGTTCAAACAAACATGAAACAAATGCCAAACACTGAACGTTTGGCATTAATAGGAAGCCACTGGAGCTATACACTTTAAAATCATCTAGATTGAGCACTCATTTATCTACAACTGCTTGTTGTGTTTAGTTTGTTGTCCTTTCTCCACACCTCCAATGAGCACGGTTGGCTACGTATGGTGCTAAAGAAGTTCAACATACATACATGAACAGAATGAGTACAATTATCATATGCTTTTTATAACATGCATTCTGCTCTAGCCCTCCCCCTCTAAGTAAACAGTAAACAACAAGCAATTTCCTACTCGAATGACCAGAGAAACGGTGCTCATCTCCCGCTTACAGCCGAGCCAGTGGTGAAAACCCCACATTCCCACGGCAGGGCCAAGTCCAACCACAGGATAATCGCTGTGCTCACTTCCCCCACACGGCAGAATTCGGTTTAAAAAAATCGATCCCAGAGGTGAGATGGGCCGAGTTAACCACCGACCAGGATTTCTTTTTTTACTTTACAAAAAAGGCACGCACCGTAACGAGGGAGAGGGCCGGTACAGAAATGTCACGGACCGAAGCCCCGAACTCGGTGCTCCTGGGCTCCCGGGGAGTGGTTACCACCCGACCACGATTTGAAGTCACAACCCTTCCCCCCCGTTCGCCCGCGCCCCGCCGGCTTTGCTCACCATGGAGAGGTAGCAGAGCTGGCGGCAGGTGAGGCAGCGCCGCTCCGCCGACTCGATGGGAAGCCACTTGCGCGGCCGCTTGCGCACCTCGGCCACGCCGGGATGGTGCGCGTCCTGGCAGCCGTAGCGCGCCCACGAGCGGAGTCCCCGCACGTGCAGCCTCCGCCGCAGGTTCAACTCCCGGTCTCTGTTGGGTTTTTTTCGACGGCCCGGGGGACAAAAATCGGAATCGTGAGCGTGGTTGGTTTTTCACACCGTGCCAAACGTGGCGTGCGGTGGTGCGGTAGGCTCCGTGTGGTGCGACATGTGGCATGTGGTACGCGGTACGTGGTACATGATACGCAGTACGTGGTGCGGAATGACAATTCCATTTACAATGCACCTTCATCAAGGATTTCCAAGTGCTGTACAAGACACAGCAGTAGACATAGCATGACAATAAAACACGAAACTAGAAACAAACTAATCAGCAAAATAACCAAATAAATATTGCAAGTCATTTGCTAAATTACCCAAAAAGTCCAACAGACGAAAGATTGTAAATAACAATCTAAGACGAGTTTGACAAATGTCAAGATACTCTTGATATCTTGTGGGAAAGAGTTCCAGTCTGGGGGGAAAGAGCTATTGCAGAGTGCGGTCGTATAGCTACAGTTCTCCGCCGGTGAGCACAATGCCTTCAAAAACAACGGCGCCACTACGTCTCTCCAAAATAAAATCCAACGCTCGCCGCTTGCGCGTTCCGAGATCCAGCGGCGACATCTCGGGAAGGGGTAAAGGGTTAAAGAGACCTCGCGTGGACGTATGGGTGCAGCAGCAGCAGCAGCAGCAGCAGCATTGTCTCAATGTGCGGTGTGCCCACGCGGTGCTGCGTGGTGCGACGCGACGCGACGCGACGCTTACGCCCACCGTAGCTGGCCCAGCAGGGGCCCCACGTGGGCCAGTGCCGCCGCGTTGCCCTTCTCCAGCTCGCCCACGGCCGTCAGGTAAAGCAGCTTGTCCACGGGGAACATGTTGGGGATGCACCGCCTCTTCACCTCCTGCCAGACGGGATGTACGCGGGGGGGATTCGCCGCATGAGTGGGCACCGTTACACCCAGCCGGTGGGCGGGTGGGTGGGTGGGAGGGCCTGCAAATCAATTTTGTAACATTTTTGACATTGCGTTTTTCTGGATTTTTTTGTTGTTGTTGTTGTTATTCTGTCTCTCACTGTTCAAATAAACCTACCATTACAATTATAGACTGATCATTTCTTTGTCAGTGGGCAAACGTACAAAATCAGCAGGGGATCAAATACTTTTTTCCCCTCACTGTAGATGGACAATCAGATGGATGAGAAACAATCAAACGGACAGAAGAATGGAAGGACAAACGGACAGATGGACAAATGAATGGACATTGTTTCACTATTTTTATTTTACCAGGTAAGGCCCACCGAGCTACATAGCTCTTTTTAAGAAGCGACGTGGTCACAAATGATAGCTCCACAAAGTGGCTTACCACGTGCGAATTTATAGCAGCTAAATACTCCAAATGCATGTTTCTAAAATGTGGAGGGGAAAAAGCGGAGGACCTGGAGAAAAATCCACGTGACTACAGGAAGAATATGCAAACGACAAACATACAGGCATCAGGGTCGGGATCGAACCAATGACCTCCTGCACACCAGGTGAGGTAGTTAACATCTCACCACCGTGGCACCCCCTGTATATACCGTCTCTCCCACCTCAACTGCCTGTACTATCTGCTAGGTTCGTACTCTCCTAATCGTACCCTCTCTATAGCAGTCTCACATTTTGAAATGCCTGTACAGTATTTCTCATAGCCGTACGTCTTATTTGCAATACCTCTCTGTTCAATTGTCCCATCCATCTCATTTGCAATGCAGATGGATGGACAGGCGGATAAACGGTTGGTCGGACAGATGGAAAAATGCACAGACGGACGGACGGATGGACGAGACACAAGCGGCGAGACCTCAGCGGCCCGGCAGCCGAGGGGCAGCCAGTCAGCGGGGGCGAACGTGATTGTCTCGGACACCGAGTAGCCGCACGACACGGACGAGGTGAAGGACCCCGGGAAGGTGACCACGAACTGCCCGCTGCGCTGCACGGTGCGGTACACGGACACGCCGGCGTGGCTCAGCACCTCCGGGGACACCTGTACACACACCAGGGGAGGGGGTCGGGGGGCAGGACCCGGGGGTGTGGGTTCATTCTGGGTACTCACGATCAATTCACAAGCAAATATACTGTACGTGTATACGTACCTAGGCAACCGTGCTAATTGGAGCTGCGGGGGGGGGGGGGAAGGACAACAAAACTTTACACAAAAAGCAGTTCTCTAGTTACAGTAACCGCAGCCTCTCAACCTTTTATACCATAACTCGCTCATCTCACACGTCATGGGGGGGGGGGTCGTTTGACCATACTTCGCCACTATTATCAGTGTGAGTTGGTGGAGGGAAGAATAGATGTGATATGGAATTTGCTGCGCTGCCCTCTGCTGCCCACAGCAATACGAAAATTAAATGGCACTACGAAGTCCCCACTCCACCACTCACCATGCTGTTCTGCAGCATCTCCAAGCCAGACTTGCCATTCGCCTGCAGTAGGGAGTGGACCACCTTGTCCAGTTTATCCTTCTGGCTGGCTGGGATGCAGTACCTAGGGAGGGGTTCCATGTCCAGACAGAATTCTACTCAAGAAATGTTTTTTCATCATCACCATGCACATGGAACATATGTACAAAAAATACAAAGATTCCACATAAATGCTTTAACAGGCTGTTGGGGCAAGTGCCATTAGCGAACACCTATTAAGGTTGGCACGGCAACACAAGGAGGTGGGTGATTCATATCATTATTTTGATATGCGGTCGAGTTTAAATTCAAGCATATTATTTTAACAGTTGTAAATGTAGCAGGCTCAAGTGGTTAGCATGAACCCATTGCATGACAACATACGAACGCATTCAACCACGTGCAGTTTGATGTATATATATTCGATGCAATGTTAAGAATCGATATTTTTTATATCAACCAATGCTTAGTTACAAGAACAGTCACATGCCCAACACACGCACGGTCTCACTGCTGTGACTCTCAACAAGAGAGGTGGGAAGCAGAAGCAATGATTCCACCGTGGAGACCGCACCAAGACATCAGCTTGCGTGCAGTGCAGGCGTGGTGGAGTGGGGGAGATGGCGAAGGCCTCCCTCTTGCAGGGGATTTTATCGCGACAGAAAATAATGATGATGCTGGTCATGATTCCACCGGTGGGGACAGAAGCGGAAAGCAGGAATGGGGGCGCACCCACCAGATTTTGTCGGCGCCCGTGTGCAGGTAGTCGATGGAGGGCAGGTAGTGCGGGTCGCGGGCCCACACCCACGTAGAAAACACCATCCCCACGTTCAGCCACGGCACCGTGACCCCTGAGGTTCGGAGACATCGTGTCATCACAATGAGCTTAAATCCCAACTCGTTTGGAATAGCATCAGCTGTGAAGATGGCCTACTCTCATGTTTCTCTTGGTTAGCTTTTAGGCCAGGAACAGGGGAACCTTTTCCTTACAGAGGGCCAAATTAGGACTTTCAAATACAACTGACACTGAGCTTTGATCAGGCTATGATTGTACGCAATTCACCGTGTGCCGAGAATTACTTGGAAGCAATAGGTGATTTGGCACACGCCAAAATTAGATACGCGGTTCAAAATAATCCTCCTCGAGTGTCCAAAAAGTGCAAATATGATTTGTGGGTCCTTTGAAATTTTAGGATTCATGTAGCCCATGGGTCATATGAAATAAAGTCCTTGGCCATATCCGGCCCGTGACCCGTAGGTTCTGCACCCCTGGATTAGGAGCCACCCGTCCTGTTCAGAGTGACTCTCATGTGGCGCCAAGGGCTCACCGGACAGAGCTCCCAGGTGTCGCAGCACGGAGCCGGGGTTGCTGGGCAGCATTGTCAGGTTCCAGCTGTGCCTGATGACGATGCAGATGCCCAAACACAAAGTGAAAGAAATCATGAACCCAACAGAAGCACAAACATGCACACAGGTGGTGGTTAGCACAGTGGTAACAATTGTGTCTCACTGCAAGGGCCGGGTTCAATTTCTGATTCGGGTGCCTTTCTGCGTGGAGTTTGAATGTTCTCCCCCCCTCTTCTGCCAGGGTCCCCCATCTGGGTTCTCCAGTTCCCTCCCATAACTAAAACAAACATGCAGTGTAACTGGTATTGGGCAAACATTTAAATACTGACAAATCGTATGCAAAATTACTCAACCCGAGATTACACACTGCAACATTGTCCCCAACGATGTATACTAATTAAATGGCTGAAAACATCTGAATATACACAGGACCGTGGAGAGCTGGACCAACCGCCCAGTTGCCTTTCAGCTTGGTCTGTGGTTCCTCAGCGATTGCGAGATGGAAATTATAAGAACGACGCTAAATGAAACTCAACATTGTTAGGTTTATTATCAAAATCTTGGAAGAATCTTCCTAAAAAAAGGAGTCTTGAGACTTATGTACGGCTTTTCTGGGCAAACGAGCATCATGACAATAATCACTAATCCTGTTGGTATCCCATTCTAGTGCAGGAGACAGGATAGTGGGGAGCCGCGGTGGCGAGATGTTAACTACCTCGCCTGGCATACAGGAGGTTGTAGGTTTGATCCCGACCCTGAAGTCTGTATATTTGGAGTTTGCATGTCTCTCTTCCCGTAGTCGTGTGGATTTTTCTCCAGGTTATCCGGCTTTTCACATGTAGAATCAACATGCACTTAAGAGTATTTTGCTGCTATACATTACATCAGCCACTTCGATGAGCTATCATTTGTGGCCAGGTCACTTATTAAAAAGAGCTACATAGCTCAGTGGGCCTTACCTGGTAAAATAAAAAGTTTAGTTTTAGCTTAGTTAGCATGAGAATCAGCCAAAGAAGAATTACAAATCATACTCTGAGAGTATCAAATTTGAGTACCATTCCCACGGTAGTTGGCCAGCAACGGGCGTGAGCATTCATAATGTCGGCTGCTTTTTGTGTAGTCACATGGTGCCGAACCGGTGTCCGGGAGACATCACCTGGAGAAGGGCTCGGAGCGGCCGATTGGGAAGCCGCTGGACACGAAGTTTGTGTCGACTTTGCCGCAGTGCACGGACACGTGCATGTCCTGGTTCTGAACGATCTCCCAGTACTTTTGCTGAAACGGGCAAAACGAGAACGCACGTTTCCACAGTCGCGGGAAACTGTGCCGGCTGGACGCTTGTACCAGGCTGGACGGCCCGTGACCTCGCGTTGCTACAGCTTACTTCCATGCCGAAGCAATCCCAGGCAAAACTGGGGCAATTAATTATCATTACAATTACAGCAGCGTCGTTAGCTGAAATTAGTTACAATGTGTGATTACAATTGCAAGCGAAACAAGCAGATCTGGCTCACAGGAACCTGTTTTTGCAGCCGCATCGTACGCTCTTACCCAGGCCGGAGTGAGGTGTGACGTCAAGGGGACAGTGTATGAGCAAGATGCGCGCACCATGATGGGAGATGATGGGCGGGGCTTGGTGACATCATCAGTATGTGGGGGGCGACCGCCGCTCTTAAACAGGATCAGTTTCATAATTCTTAGTTGATCAATCAGACAAATCGATTAATCGTCCCAGCCCTACCACCGACGTTCAGGATCCCTTTCAAAAAGCATTTACAAACGAGATGCATCTCCGCTGCATCTCACCTCGATGAGCGACGCCGACGGCTCCTTGCTGCAGTGAGTGCTCAGCAGGTTCCGCGCCGCTCGGTAAAACGCCGTCAGCGATACCGACTTGCCCTGCGAGGCGGTTGGGGGGAGGGGAGAGTGGGCAATTCATCGATCCACCCATGAAATGTCACAAAAAAAATTACCCAAAAAACTCAACTCTTTTTATGTAACCAGGCAAGGCCCACTGAGCTATATTGCTCTTTTTCAGAAGTGACTTGGCCACATATGGATAGCTCACATATGGATAGCAACCAAATACTCTGCACGCAAATTTACAAACGTGGAGAGAAAAGCCGATCCTGACCATCTGCCGCGGGAATGGTACTCAAATTCCTTACTCCCGGAGTACGAATTGTGATCCTTCTTTGGCCAATTCGCATGCTGACTAAGTTAAAACTAAACCTTTAATTTTAACAGCTATATAGCTGACAGCTCATCGAAGTGGCTTATCATCTGGAAGTGTATAGCAGCCAAATACACTAAACGGATGCTGATTCTAAATGTGGAGGGAAAAGCCGGAGGATCCGGAAGAAATCCATGCGACCACGGGGAGAATATGCAAACTCCGAATATATAGGCATCAGAGTCAGGCGTGAACTCACAACCTCCTCCATACCTTGCGAGGTAGATAAATGATTCTCCCTCTCCGAGATTCGGTGACGAGTCACAATTCTTGGCCACGATTCCATTTACGTATGTGTGTCTTCTTATCCAAATCTATACCGCCTGTGCTTCTCGGCGTCGTGTCACGAGAGGGAGAATCCATTCCGATCTCTCTTAAAGAGAAGTGCACCCCTCCTCCATGTTAGGGAATGGCTCACAGAAGTGGTTAAAATAATTACTTCTGAAATCCCTTACAAGTGACCTATTGTCCAAACAGTATGGGGGCAGTTCATTGCCACTGCCTGCTGCAGAGGGCAATACTCGTCGCATGATAATCAAACCGATATTTTTAATTCTCAGAGCTCGATTTTTACCCTGATTGTATGTATATGTGCGTATGTTGAACTTCTTTCGCAACGTACGTAGCCAACCGTGCTAATCTGAGATTAAGTGCAGACCAAATCTCATGCGATATGGTCCCAGCCCAACGCTCTGACCTCATGAGCCAACCTGGCGAGGTTTGGCCAATCGACGATGTCAGAAGGTGGCCTCGTCGTCATCACCTACGTCGTCGTCATCATCATCGCTTACCTTGAAGCACCACTTGTGCACGTCCTTGAGCACTCCGCTGTCCCTGTGCGTCTCTTTGGGGGGGTTCGTCACAGCCTCCCCGTCCTCCCCGTCGCTCGGCAGTGGAGACATCCCATTGGAGGACACTCCGTTCCGCACGCGGCTCGTTAGTCTGTTCCACGGTTTGAAGCTGGCTCCGAGCTGAAGAACACAATGCAAGGTCACGGGGTTACTCAAATTGACAAAAAAAAAATTCGCTTCTCCTGCAGCATTTGTATAGTGAAAATTATATTATCCAAGGCCCTATTATCCTCTGCTCCTGCTATCCTTGACCCCCAATAATGCAAACGGGTGGGAGAAAGATCACGTGTAGGCCTGAGTGAGTGCTATATATTTAGGTCTGGCTGCTCATGCAATTGATATCTCAGCAGGTTCCCTCAAATGTTATAAGAGCACAATTTGTATTTAATCTCAAATTATAACCCAACTGGAAGACCACATCAAAGTATTACCTATAGAGTCGATGCAATAGGCCCGTTTCCACCAACACCAGATAGCGGTGTTACAAATAGAACTTCACCAAATGTCAATCCTGAGACTGAGACACATAGCCACAAGTCTTAGACACCAAGACCTAATGTGATACCAGTTCAGTGTGTCTTTGACATAGCCATCACCAGCTTCCTCAGACAGAGACATATTTGCGGTACCAAACCTGAGACCCAAGATCTCGCGGATACCAGCTCAGCGTCTCTACCGCGGACACCGCAAGCGACCACCACGACGGGGGTTCAACGCCGACAGCGCTCACCCCGAGCCCCTCAGGGATGTCCCCTTGGCCCTGCTGTCCCTCCAGAGCCCCCCCGCGCGCCTCGATCCGCTCGCGCTCCGCCAGCACCTCCCGCTCCAGACCGCGTCGCTCACCGTCTGAACACGGCCGACGGGACACATTGGCTTCCGGTTGCTGAACGGATACATTTAGAGGTCGCGCTCATTACACACAAAGCGCTTGCCACAAATACCTTGCTGATATCATCAAGGAGCATAAACCATCATCACGCGAACTACGGTCATCTTCGCAGCGGCGCCTTTTGTCTAACCATCAAACAAAGACGGTCACTGCATCGCGTGCTTTCAAATGCACTTCTGCGGCTGTCTGGAACGCTCTTCCTTCCGATATTAGGAAGTCACTGGAGCTATGCACGTCATTTGAATCTAAATTGAAAATTCATCTCTTTAGAACTGCTTTTTTTGTCTTTAGTTTGTTGTCCTTGCCCAACATCTCCGATTAGCATGGTTGGCTACGTACAGTGAGAAATGTTTGACATACATCATACATATGCACAATGACGCACTCACATCTCACAGCCGACAACAGAAATAACCGCAAGCATCGAAGCATCGGAACGCAGCCGATGTGGGAACAGGGGCATATTCATGTTATCCTATTTATTTTCAGTAATTCAAACAATCGGTAGCTTAATTGATTATGTAACTAATCGGATATCCCGGGCTCTGCTATGCACTTTACTGACCGTGGGAAGACTGGGGCAAGCACTGATGGATGTGAGCTGATGTTTCACCCCCAACTAAAAAGGTTTGAAGCGCCCACAAAATGTCACATCTGGTTTTTCATGTTTTTATTTATTAATTTTTTGGCTTTTTTTGCGTCTGTTTTAGGCTATTGCTCCAGGTGACAAGAGCTTTGATGCGCATTGTTGACGACGGTGATGTGGTTGATGATCCACGGATGAAACTGACCGACGTTCACGATGACGTGGGTGGTGGCGGTCGATGCTTATAATTACATCGACGCCGCTGTTGCTGACAGCCCAAAACTCTAGATCAGAGTTCAGCAACCTGCAGCTCCGGAGCCGCCTGCGGCTATTCAATGACCGCTTCATAACGTTATTCAATAAGAACCACAGCCTTGTATTCACATTGCATTGCGGCTCTTGAAATAAGAGTTTTTGCTGATTGAAAAAAAAAAAATGGCTCATCTTGTTATTTTGGGTTGCCCAACCCCTGCTCCAGACCGATCGCTTTGGACGGGGCTTCCCGTCTCCCTCTCCTCTTTACCTGGCAGGCCCTCGAAGGCTTTGGACGGGGCTTCACGTCTCCCTCTCCTCTTTACCTGGCAGGCCCTCGAAGGCTTTGGACGGGGCTTCACGTCTCCCTCTCCTCTACCTGGCAGGCCCTCGAAGGCTTTGGACGGGGCTTCACGTCTCCCTCTCCTCTTTACCTGGCAGGCCCTCGAAGGCTTTGGACGGGGCTTCACGTCTCCCTCTCCTCTTTACCTGGCAGGCCCTCGAAGGCTTTGGACGGGGCTTCACGTCTCCCTCTCCTCTTTACCTGGCAGGCCCTCGAAGGCGAGTAGGTAGCGGCAGTACGCCTCCTGCAGCCGTGCCAGGCGGTCCTGGGCGGCGCGCGGAACTCGCAGCGCGTCCGCCAAGCGCTGCCACGCGCGAGCGTCGCGCAACTGCTGCATCCCGCCCAGAGACTCCATCAGCACCGACAGCGAGGCCAGGTCCAGCTCGCAGCCGCCTGATAGGACGACGGGGGGAAAGAACGGACGAGTTGGAGGGCGGTGGCGTAGCAATTACGGAGTCGAACGAGCGACGGCAACCATTTTGTTTCGAGAAAGGTTAAAAAAGCAAAAGGGGAAGGCCAAAAAAATAACTGGCGAGGCGTAATATATTTTAATATAAAGGTCACTGAAATAACATGGGATGATGCAGACCAGGCTGGCTGGAGAGCAGAAGCTGTGGTGAGGATGTCTTGCCCAATGTGCTGCAGAGCAAGGCAAGGACCGAGGTTTCCCGCAGTCACTCGTCATCCAAGGGTGCTCTTCCGGGTTAGGCAGTGTGTTTTAGCATTTCTTCTCTCACTTTCGCCATGCATTGCTCTGGGCATCTTGAGGAGTCTTACTTAGAAATCACCATTATCTGTTGTGTGGTTCTGTAATTGGTTCTTTATAACCATGTCCTGGATGGCTCCCAATAATTCCCAGCTTCCTGTCTGGGACTTTCCAGGCAGTCTGGGCGCAGCATAGCGTGGCGGAAGCTTGAGAGAAGAAATGTTCAACGTGTTATCCGAGCCCAAAGAACCACACTTTTATGAAGGAGTTAATTCCATGGCATCTTGCCACTTGTAATATTACTTTTAGTTCCAAAATGTAAAAAAAATCTAATCACAGGTCACAGCACTGACCTGTGATTAGATTCCTCACCGACTCAAAAAAAAATCACAATTTAGTTCTGCACTTAATTTGGCTAAATTCCAGCATTGAGAAGTAAAAATATGAGTTTGACCGGTCGGTATGTGATTGAACATCGATCTTTGTAAGAGGGCAGGTGACCAGACATTTGAAGGGAACTCAGAATTAGCTCTGCGATATCCGCTTGCGTGGCCCGTTTCATCCGTGGAACTGTCGACACTATCGCCAACCCAAATTCGCCACTTCTCATGCCACGCTCACCGATGAGCGGTAACTCCTCCAGCGCGATGCCCTGGCGCAACAGGTGCTTGCGGATGCACGCCAGCCGCATCTCGTTGGGGCCCCAGCGCCGGCCCAGCTTGTGCACGTGCTGCACGCGCGTCACGAAGCGCATGTCGTCGCTGAGCCGGCACTCGGGCCTCCAGCAAGTGGGCGGCGCTACGCGGCACGCGCCCGCCTCCTCCACCCCCGCCCGCGACCGTACGCCCTCCACGTACGCCAATGGGTCCAGGAACTCCCGCGCCGTCGGGTACAGCACCGGCACCTCCGGCAGAGCCTGCGCCAGGAACGAGGGCGCGGCCGATGCCGACACCGACGCCGACGCCAGCGTGGGCGACACGGGCGTGGGAGCGGGCGCGGCCCCCCGAGGGGCCGCCGGTCGCTCATCGGTCTTGGCCTCGTCCCCACTGGCAAGATTGCTGTTGCTGCGGAGACGCTTGCCGTGCGAGCGAAGCGTCGGCGGTGGCTGCTGCTGCTGCTGCGGCTGCTGGCGGCCGGGCTCAGCGTCAGGAGCACTGCAGGCGCGCCGGGGCCTCTGCGCCGGTCTCGCACATGCCGGGAGAACATTGGCACCGGGAGCGACCGGAGGAGGACCCCTCGTCCCCCGCTGCTCGTCGTCGTCGTCGTGCTTCGCAGAGTCGGCCGAGGGCTGGGATGGGGCCGGAGCGGGTGGCGAGGCGCAGGCCCGCGAGCTTTCACCGTCGCTATCGCTCGCGGTGGAGACGGCTCGCTCGACGCTTGCGCTCCTGCGCCTCCGTCGGGTCTTGGGGTCGTTCTCCCGGCCAGCGGCAGGGTCGTCTGTCGGAGCATCGCTCGTCACCGAGGGCTCCACACTATTTTCTCGGTCTTCTTCGTTGCCGCCCGGGCTGGGATTAAATTCTCCGGCGAGCCCGACGGTGATTGCCGACTGCAGAGCTTCGCGGGGCGATGCCCGTGGGGGAGAAACGACGCCAGTCTTCTGCCTTGGCGGCGCCGGCTGTCTCTTCCCTTCCACCTGGAAGACGCAGTTCGCCATTTCCTCCAGCTTCCTCTTCTTGTCGGGCAGCGCCGACTGCTGCGGACGCTTCTTTTGCTGCTGCTGCTGCTGCTGTTGGTTCAAAACAGTCCCGGCCTTTTCCGAATCTCCGGATGCCCTCCCTCTAACCTCCGCCGCTCTCTGCCTGCGCGTCATGCGGGTTCCGTTTGCTTCTTCGGCATCCGTGTCGCTACCGCCGCCGCCGCCGCCGCCGCCGCGACAGCGGTGCAGCCGAGCTGGACCGTTGCGGAGCTCCTCCCTCGTCCTCGGAGGCTCAACGGGAAGCGCTCGCCTCCTCCGCATCATTTCGCGCGGGGGCCCCGGATCAGAGTCCGGCTCGAGAGAGCGCGGCCGGCGCCGCGCCGCCCTGGAGCGACCCCGGGAGACGCCGCCATCGTCGGCGGCGTCGGCGTCGGGCGCGCGGTCCGGGCTGCCGGCGTTGAGGGCGGCGGCGTGGCGGGTGGCGTGGCGGGCCGAGCGACGAGAGCCGCGAGACTCCCTCTGCGCGGGGCCCTGGCTCGTCTGCGGGTACTGCGCTGGCACCGCCGACTTGGAGGCGGACATCTTGGCGGCCTGCGCGCAGGCACCAGAGGCAGTGATGGGCAAACGGACGGTCGTTTACCGGGTTTCCAACACTTCGACGACTTAAAACTCATCGATTGTTCTAACGATCGTTGCCTTGGGCTAATTTGGAAATATATTTCTAAGGATTTTCATATTGTTTGCGCAAGATATTCGCACACGCGTTTTAATTGCACCAAATCAGATGTTGAGAGAGGTGACGATCGATGTCTTCAGCTGTCATAACATAATTCTGCCATTATGATATTTAATGATTATAACCCACAAGCTGTCAGTTGCATAACAAACAAATATATAAAAGGAAATATTTACCCGCCATGAAAAAAGTTTTGGAGGAAAAACATTTGCCGAGCAATAATTTCAAGGATACTGGGCATATATATCGTACCTGAATCATTGCGTTTGTTATTTTTGTAATATGTTGGTCAGCAAATAAAAAATAAAAAAGGCGCGACGAAATCCAAAGATCGAAATACAACGAAGCTTTTCCAAATGAGCGATACGCATACCCTACACGTCGCACGACGCATCGTAATGCTGCATCGCCAACATCTCGGCGGCCCTCAGAGCGACGACGCCGGCGAGGCGGACTTGCCGGTCTGTAGCCGGCGTCCCTGCTGGCCACAGCAGGAGCCTCCTCCTCCTCCTCCACGTGGCTGCCGTCGCCCCTCCCCGCATCGCCGTCGCCCTCCTCGGACCCGCAGCCGTTCCACGCGACGTCCCCGCGCCAGTCCGGGCCGCGCTGGCGCTCCCCGCCGCCGGTCCACGCGCCACTCCCGCTGGCCGCGACTCTCCGAGCCCGTTCGGGCCTAGGGGGCTCGGCTGATGGCCCCGAGTCGTTGCCGCCACCGCCGCCGCCGCCGCCGCCGCCGCCGCCGCCGCCGCCGCATGGCTCGGCGATGCCCTTCTTGCGTGCGCTTCTCCGCTTCTCGCCGAGAATGCATTCCTCAGGCCAGATTAGCTCCTTTTTGATGTCCGCGAGCACTGGAGGGGGACCCCGCAGACAATCCAATGGGTTGGCAGGCGCGTACAGGAGACTGTGATACACCCAACTCTTCTAAAAATGATCGTCTGCCCAAAGTGGGCCCAATATATCCTCAATATTATTCGAAAAGCTGTTTCTCCAACCATGGAGAAACAACCCGCTGAGATGCCGATCGAAACCATCACGTTACCGTACATAGCAGGTGTTACCAAAAATATTTCCAAAATCTTAAACAAACACAAGATCCAGGTCCGATTCAATACAGCACACAAAATCCGTGATCTAATCCCATCTGTGAAGGATGTCATTCCTAACATGCAATATCCTGGAGACTACAAACTAAATTGCACCTGTGGTGGCTGTTACATTGGGGAAACGAAACATGTCTCTGACCGTGTTCGCGAGCACAAGGCAGATCTGAAACACATCAGAACCAATTCCTCTGCCGTGGCTGACCATTTTTATAACGCTGTGGGCTCGCATGATATTGTTTTTTTCCGAGACCAAGTTAATTTGCAAACCTTCGGGCTACTTTCAAAGGTTTGTTCATGAAGCCATCCAGATATATAAACATAACTTCAACCGAGAAGATGGATACAAATTGAGCAATCATTGGAAGGATGTTATTAACCAGGTAAAACCCTAACTGCTTTGTAGTGGTTGTCGTCTATCATACCCACCGTGTACTACTACTCCACGCAGCGCTCGTCCTCCCCCTACCCCACACCCCCACCCCTCCCTCTCCCCCTTGCTCTTCCCCCTTTCTTGCCTGTATAACCTCTTACCACGGCAACTCTCTCACACTTCAGCCAAAAAAAAATGTTTTGCTGTGGTTTTCCCACCTGATGATTGCTTGTGTTGAAATCGAAACGTCGTGATTTATTTTATTTTCTACCTACGTGACTTTACCGAAAGAACCAAAGAGCAGGGGGCTCTTCCAGGTTAGCTTGCATAATGCAAAATACGAATTGTAACACGAAATAAAAAATGTTACTGGTATGAATACTAAGTGGTGCTTTGACTTTAATTATAATTATCAAATCATCGATATGATTTTGTATCGTTGTGCTACAGTATTCCGTCAATCCAGCCTTGGCGATCCCGCTCACATGTACCCCACTTACATGGGATCGCATTTCTGCTGGGTGGGCTCCTTGGCGGTTTCTTTGGGCTAGGCGTTGGTGGCGGAGTTGGTGGTGGTGGTGGCGGCGGCGGCGGCGGTGGAGGCTGTGTTGGCGGCACGGCGACGGGAACGGTTTTCTCGGGCGAAGGACCCTTGCTGGGCCGTGTCGCCACGTTGCCTTGCGTCTCCCGTCGCGGACGGCTGCTCTCCGGGGTCATGCCGTAGTAGCGCAGGGAACTCGGCAGCGCGGAGGAACCTGCGCTCCCAAACAAAGCGGCCGTCACCACACCGCTACGACGGGGCACGTGACCCGAGTCGAGAAACGCAGCTTTAAGGGCAACACAAATGGCATCACCTCGGAGGCAGAGGTACGTGAGAAAGTCCTCCGTCTTGGGCGTTTTCTTGCACAGGTCTCGCATCCGCCCCTGCACCGCGCCAGGGTAGGGGGCGCGAACGGACCCCGGGTACGAACGGGGACACGGACCCAGGAGGAACGGTGGCTGCTGCTGCTGCTGCCCGAAGCCGAACGGCAACGGAGAGGATCTCTCGAACGCGTCGACGCAGCGGCCTGCCAGCCCCACGGAGCCGGCGGGAGACGTCGGCGAGCCCGGGCAGCCCGGCGGGTAGATCTGAGCGAACTTGCGTTGGGCCTGCATGCGTGGCCTGGCCGGGTTGTGTAACCATGACAGGAAACGAGCAGCGATGCACGTCAGGCTTCTCTCATGCGTTCTTCCCAATTGTACTTTTATATCATGCGTTATTTTGCTTTGCGCCCTCCTATTTGATTACGATTTTGATTTTTAGCATTGTGTCAGGCAATGAGCTTGACCGAGCCGTGACCATCGACTCGAAACACAATAGAATCCAGTCCAATCACAGGCAGCTGAAAGCTGGCCTTTAACTCGCCGTGTTTACGAATCACGCTGAAGTTGTGATTTTCTGATCAATTAATTTCCAATAGCACTATCAGCAAGGAGACCTTGCTACCTCGGTTTAAACTGGGCCAAGAATCATCCGCACAGAGTTATTATAGTTGCTAAACCAGTGGTTCATAAAACCTTTCGGACTCGCAGCCACTATCAAAAATCTACAGATTTGAGAAGCAGGGTAACAAAGAATTGCACTTAAATATCCTTCCTTTGAATTATTTATATTGGCCTGTGAAAGTCTAAGTGGCAAATTACAAAACTCTAGCAAGGTGAGAGCTATACCATTAAGTGTGTTAACCATTCGCCATCAATATGTTGTCAAATAGAATCACACCCACGCCCCATTTCGTCAGATCTCTGCAGCTAGGCAGTGTTGAGTCTGGACTTTGCTCGAATGGGCAACCGAGATGCACAACACAGGTGTTTTTATAGGCTGCTGTGGGACTACGTTGTCAGTAAGAAGTGTATGCTTCGACGCTCTGGCAGCTAAGCTACCAACCATCACCAACGCACACTGGCCGGTGTGGTCAAGTCAAAGTAAAAAGGTAGAGGTGAAGCCCTGTATTGCTTGCTCGTGTCACTGCTGGCGGAAGGGCACCTACTAAAGCCCTTCGAGAGAGTCCTTCAAGAGAGTATTTGGCCTACTCTTCCACACTGGCCAAACGTCTTGGTAGAGAATGGATTACTCACACTTTTGCCCATCACACGGGACCTGCCGCCCAACTATCTGTGCTATACCCAGTTATGCTGCTGGGTGAACACAGACGGTGGGGGGGGGGGGGGGTTATAAACTTTATCTGCATTGCAAGTCTAAACTAACCTATATTTAACCACTTTTTACGCGCTTTTATTTAACTCACTCTGTTGTTGTTTGTCGTTGTATCCTAAAATCTTGTAACTCAATTTTTACCCACTTCCCAATGTGGTATCGACTGCAAACTTTAGTATACTTATGTCACTCATGACAATACTATATTCTATCATTAAAAACATTTACAATCTTTTTTTATATGTTATGTTTCGGCTTGGGTCTAATTGTCCACGCTCAACTGACGTTGGCTGTAAATCACCATGGTCCCCTTACGTTGTGGCAAGCTTCGGGGCCACTTCCTGGAGTCGTGGAGTTCTTCCATTACCAGGACGGCACATTTCATTAAAGCGTGTTTTTAAAAAAAAAAATTCAAATATGACTTACATTTTTTCAGGTAAGGCCCACTGATTTGTAGATTTGTCTCTGACCGAATTCGCGAGCACAAATCAGATTTGAAACACGGCAGAACAAATTCTTCTGCCGTTGCTGATCACTGTTACAACGCTGTGGGTGATCACGATGTAATTTTCTCCGATACCAAGGTTCTTTGCAAACCCACAGGTTTTTATCAGAGATTTGTTCACGAGGCAATTCAGATCTACAAACACAATTTCAACCGAGAAGATGGTTTCAAATTAAGCAACCATTGGAAAGATGTTCTAAATCGAACCAAACATTAAATATTTTCATTAGTACAGTATATTTTTTCAAGTAGTGGTACCCCAAACTTTCGCAGCACAGGCGGGTGCACTGCCGGTGCCGATCACTGTGCTACACCTTTCATAAGTCCGCCAATCAAATGCTAATTTTTACGCTAATTCCTTTGTCAAGGCACCTTAATCCCTCTCACACAGCTTAAAGGTGCACTGCCGTGTGCTACACCTTTCATCATGCTAAGTCCGCCAATCAAATGCTAATTTTTACGCTAATTCCTTTGTCAAGGCACCTTAATCCCTCTCACACAACTTAAAGGTGCACTGCCGCATGCTACACCTTTCATCATGCGAAGTCTGCCAAACAAATGCTAATTTGTATGCTAATTCCTTGTCGAGGCACCTTAATCCCTCTCACACAGCTTAAAGGTCGTAGTCTGAGCTTGGCTCTGTTTCACTCCAGCGCAGTCTTCGAGACAGGCTGGTCCCTTCACCTGATGAAGGCCGCTTGTGTTGTGGCCGAAACGTCGTGATTTTTGTTGTGTTATTTTTTTACCTACGTGACTTTACCAAACAGAACCAAAGAGTAAGGCCCACTGAGTTATATAGCCGATTTTCAGAAGTGACCTGGCCACAAATGAAAGCTCAACAAAGTGGATCATCATGTGGAAACTTATAACAGCCAAACACTCTGAACGCATGTCCTCAGCAGCGCCCCCGGAGTCGTGAAGAATGATCAATATAACCCACACGACCCTGCACGGTCATGTGGGGAGGTCCTCATCGAGCAGTGGATGGATTCACACGTCCACATGTACATCGGGCAAACCCAACACACCGACCGAGGTTTCGTCTCGGACAAACGCCGCCCGTGTTTGAGCGCGGACCCATACCAGGTGACGGCAGCCAGGGCACCGACGGGCCTCGCTCTGTCCACGGTCTCCTCCGAGTCCGCATGGGAAAACACATCCTGCCGCTGCAGCACCGCCGCTCTTGACACTGACGACGATGGCAGCAGCAACACATCATCAACCACAATAACGGCAAGAGCAGTCAGTGCATTATACGCATCGCACGGTTGGCTACGTGCGGTGCGAAAGAAGTTCAGACATACGTGCAGGTTGTAGAGAATCAGGATCTTAATTTAGACTGGAATCATTTGATGAGCTATGCAGCTCTTTCACAGACGCCCAGTAGGGGTGGGTCCAAAAGCTACAACAAACACCACAAGAACAGATAGGAGTGTAAAGTCTAGGAAAGCCAAGCAAGTCACTAAATATAAGTAAATAAAGTATATAAGTATGAATTGCATAAGTACATCAATTCCTGCCGATTTTTCAACACCAAATGCAATTCATAATAAATGTTTTTGGGTTAGATCGCGTTATTTAGAAAGTGTCATAACCCTCCACCACCCGACACGGCCAATCAGAAAAATAGTGTCACGTTGACAAAAGACAAATAGTTCACTACTTCAGCCCACCGGTGTGTTGAAGAGTGAATCCACAACATTTACAGTTTTTGAGTACGACATTTCACTGGTAATTACATCGAGCATCATCAGCGAAACGTCGTACTCAAAAACTGTAAATGTTGTGGATTCACTCTTCAACACACCGGTGGGCTAAAGTAGTGAACTATTTGTCTTTTGTCAACGTGACACTATTTTGCTGATTGGCCGTGTCGGGTGGTGGAGGGTTACGACATTTCTAAATAACGCAATCTTACGCAAAAACGTTTATTATGAATATTGGTCGCGAAAGTCTAAGTGTTAAACTGACGAAATGCAATCTTGGGCAAGGCAGCAAAACAAAAACAGTCCCAGACTACACCAAGACAACACACAGTAGTCCTTCAATACAACTGCACGTTAACATTTTAACTATCGACACAGGGATAAGGATAAAAGTTACAAATGACATTTGCAAATGTGATTGTGTCCAGCACTAATATTCTGCTTCAGAATATTTTTTGAAGGAAGCTTTACGATGCTCAGGGAGGAAACGAGGTTGTTCCAAAATGTTGGTCCTACAACGGCCAAGGCTTTGTGTCACCTATTCCAATTCTTGTCCTTGGGAAAGTCAAAAGGCCACGAGATGTACGTCTTAGGTTTCTTGGGTTTGACAAAAGGGTTAATGAATTAGCAAAGTATAGTACAGATTTGCAATAGGGATTTTATGGATGAATAAGGCCCAATATAGATTTTTTCTTGCATCAAGTGAAGTGAGATTGGATTTTAATGAGGTCACCATGGTGAGTCTTGTATGGTACATCCTGTGCAAATCAAAGAGCAGAATGATAAGCCAGGTTTAGTCTGTTTCAGGATTTCATTAGTAGCTGATCTCTAAGCAGCATCACAGGAGCCAAAGATTGGTATAATGATAGCTTCAACAATTTGCAGGCGAAATCTAATGGGAAAACAATGTTTGTTTCTATATTAAAAACCCTATTGGCTGACATCATTAGAAGACTTAATGGCAGGCTTATTTGGAGTGAACTCTTTAGGTAACGTGTGTTCCTAGCAGTAGTATGCAAATCACAGAACCAACGCAATAAATCTGAAAAATACAATTAAGCAGAGATAGGAAATTGGTATTGTGATAGTGACATTCATATTGTATCGTGAAAAATTATATCGCGCCAAACAGAGTATGCAACGTAGAGGAGCGTAGGGGCTGGGGGAGAGGGTGGAAACGTGCTGGATGGATTAGAGGTAGATCATTGTGGGGAGGAGAGGGGCGGGGGGGGGTGAGCTGGCGAGAGGCCGGGGCGATTGCACACGCAGGTGGAGAACGCAAACAAAGGCAAATGTTCTCCACATAGCCTGAACAGACTGTTGGATAAAGTGGTGTTAGCGCACCTACGAAGGCCGGCACCGCACATCAGTCACACTCGCCCAACCCCACATGCCTTCATTATTACAGTTCTGCACTCAAATTGTTAAGAGAACAGCCTAGGAATTCCCGAATTAAGTGGAAGCTCGCTTAACTGACTGGCTTGCCACCTTATTCATGGGTGTGCACAATATTTACTCTGCTTGACTTCAAAATTTAAAATGTATATAAATCGCACGCCTTATGCCAATCCACTACTGGATGAAGGCCTCCAGACGGCATGCCAGTCAAGGCGGATGTTTAAACATACTTCAACCCCGCTGATTAAGTGTGGGGTTGGCGAAGGCGAGGTGGCCCAAGACAGGTTCAGATATCAATCGCCACTGATGTTAGCCGGGGCCAGCAGTCGAACTCGGGTACAGAGCGCAGTACGATAACCACTGTACCACCGCTCCCCGCCTTTTATACAATGAATGCATGTTATGTAAGTTAGAAAATGTTTGTAAACTGATATACAACTGTGAAGAGAAGGGGATTAAGATCAGCTTCACTCTCAATTGCAAGCTGAGCCGGTGTGGGGCTAGAGTGTACGCAGATTTGGTGCGATCATTAAATTACATGCTAACTGAACGCAAAGCCACAGATCGGGAAAAATGTTAACACTTTTTACAAGACTTAAAATGCATTTCTGAATACACGGCACGTTACGAATCATTGACTAAAAATAAATTGCTGGTTTATATTTTTCCGCCCTCTTTCCCCAAACTTCATCACAATTCTGTTTGAGGGATCACACCATGAGATGAAGAATCCAATCGGAATGCTCAGAGCAGTGAAACGGCCCACAGAAGCGGACACCACCGAGTTACCTCAGGATATTCTTTAGTGACCTCTGCTTCACACAAGTACGGCGAGGCACTGTTCTACTCACACTGCCAGAGGGTAATGTCCGTTGCATGATGGTCAAACAAATATTATTTAAGTCAAGAGCTGGAATACGGACAAATTAAGTGCCGAATCAAAACTGCACCTGAGACCAGCAATTTTGAGTCGTAATAACTCATTGAATGAGGATTTGGGAGGGTGGGGGATGGGAAGAGGTGAACCGCTGGATGCCTAGAGGTTATCAAGGGTAGATTCCAGCTTAATCCCTGATAACACCAACATTCCAAGGTTTCAACTAGAGGGGTGAACAGGGATGAAATGTGGAATGAGGACCTAAAAGGCAGCCTACGTGCCTGGGGGTGTTGCCGGGCATAGAGGCTTGCCACATGAAGAACGTGCACCCTACAGAGCGTATGTCACCTGCTGCGGTGGATATTTGAAAAGATACAAAACAAAATGTGTAGTCTTCTCCACTTCCTTTATAATTAAGGTGGAAACCGGTCGCATGCTATCCCCACTTTCTGTCCGCTTTAGCGTCAGACTCCACAGGAAGTGAATTACTATACTGTACTTGGTTGTCTAATTATGGGGATTGTGAATTGTTAAGCGTCCAGCACGAGACTTTAAGCAATTTCAAATTTGAAGCCGACCCGACTGTGAATGCAAAAGATCAGCCGTAATTTTTGGTGAACCAAAAATATATTATATCTGTGTATATAGACTCGAATATATATGCAACATTTAATATTTATAGCCCCTTTCGCAATATTGGAGTGGAGCAGTGGCGCAGTCATTAGCGCAGTGCACTATGAACCCAGAGACCTCCGTTTGAGTCCAGACCCACAGTTTAACGTGAATTGTGAGCAATATCTGAACCGGTCTTGTCCCCTCCGACCCATTCATCAACCCTTACTCGGCAGTGTACAGTGGCGTCAAACAACCCCCATAACTGACGCGACATAAGGAGGCTTTCATCTAACACCGGAGTTAAAAAGAGCTGTGGATTGAATTGCAACTTTAGAATATCACTACAAATTACATTATTTACCCCTACAGTGAGTAGCGATCACATACTTACTTGTCTTAGATTTGGATGTGTATGTTTTACATTTGCAAAGCGAATTGTTAATCAAACCACAGCTGTGCCCTCATCCATATTCGCTTACACCCGCCCGTGATCACGAGACTGCCGCTACAAATAACAACGAGCCAATGGAATTCACAAGCAGGTGCCTTCTGAATATTGCCAATGGGCCTCAAATTCAGCATTGGTATGCGATGAGTCTGGTAGGTCCAACGCCAATTAATTTTGACGTTCTTTCATGTTGGCAATTCATCCACCATATTCAGTACTTTGAAGGGTTGGTGGACTACCCAGAGGCCATTGTGAGTTGCAAGGCTGCTAAACCTGCTCTGCTACGAGGCGGCTAAGCTATGGCAAGAAATAAATTAGGTTAATGATGACCCATCTGTATGGACTTTTGAGTGTTATCCACAAGTATTCATGACTTTCCTCTCACATGCAAAATGCTAATGAATAGCAGTGGCCAAACGTTCTTAATGTAGGACCGTCTTAATAACCCTCTTTACTGTTTGTTTACAAAGTCTTTGTCGAGGCCACATGAAAATAACACGACAACCTAGACTGATGCTATTGCCATCTCCCAGCACATTCAACTACCCTAAACATGTAATCGTGTTGGATGGGTAGGAAGCATTTGGCAGGGTGGAATGGGCCTTCCTTTTTGCAGCCATGCAAAATCTATGTCACACACAGCCACAGACGAATCCTGTTTACAGCATCGAAAGCAACCAACATGGCACACGACGAGGTGGCGTGGCCAGTACCACACCTGACTGACTGTGTCTACCCATTTGTTATCCAGCTACAATTTAGGCCAAATCAAAACAAGGGAGGCTCCGAACCAGTTCTAACATCACTAGCCACTGATGTTAGTCATGGCAGGGAATCAAACCCAGCTGGCAGGATTCAGAGCACATTGCACCAACCACTACAACAACGCTCCCCACAGACACATTAACACACACGGCACATGTGGGCGCATCAGCTTACAAGAAGAGTCAATTATGAGCTAAAACAGAATGTGGCAGGCGAGCGTTGTAGATGTAATCAGTAAGAGGAGCCTGCGATGGGTGGGGTGCGTGTGTGTAGGATTTTATGTTGAACTATTTTCGCAGAGTACGCAGCCAAACGTGCTACTCGGAATGAATAGTCACGGTAGGGAGATACTCCAAACCGACTTACAGTAGGAGATCACACTGTGGGGCCCTGGAAAACAGGACATTTTAAGGAAAAGAGACTCACACTTTACGTCCAAAGCACCACCAATGCCATCGTCATCGGCACAGCCTCCACCAATGTCAGCGACCGCCGGGCTCGCCGATGGCTTCTTGGAGGCCCTGTGGTCCTTCAGAGAGAGGTGCAGGGCCCTCTGTACATAGCGCTCCTCCCACCATGGGATGCCATTGTTGTAGTCCTGCGGGTGACGGCGTGGCAGAGGGTGGCAGAGGGCGGCAGGGGAAACGTAACGTCAGTATGGGTCCCACATTCGGGTTTCACACAAAATAAACCTAGTGTTTGCCGGTGGGCCAAGTGACATCGTCTCAAGTGTGCATCTGTTATGAATCACATTGCATCGTGACGTCATAGCGTCCGTACGAGCGAGCGCTAACCTGTTGCAAGCTATACATCCTCCAAATTACTCGCAAATAGGAACAGCCAAGTGAAAACGAAAACCAATTAATTTAAAACAATAGACAGACGAGTGAGGTTCAATGCCAAAAAGCATTGGCACTGAAATTGTATGAGCCCAGCATTCGGTTTATCCTCAAAGATTGAGAGGGAACAACATTAATTGTAAGAGAAACCAAGTAGTTTTGAGTTTGTGAATACATGCCGACTACACGTCAATGTCTGTCTGACAATACTTCAACAGCTGGTCAGTGCAGGCTGGTGGAAGTGGGCTCCAGGACCGGTTCAGGAAACACTTGCCACTGATGTTAGCTGTTGACAGGATTCAAACCGACCTGGCAACCCCCAAAAACCAGCCCACTGTGCAGAGATATTCAATCCGGCAGTGGACTGACAAAGGGCTGAAGATGTTTTATTATAAATCTATATACAGCAATGTTACCTTTAGGCTAATGGAACGAAAAGCACAGGCCACACAAGACCGACAAGACAAAAACGAAACAATACATACAAGAAACCAAAAAACAATCAACTCTTTTAATTAAATGGGTGTGACCCAGAATACTAACAATTCATCAAGATGAGGGGAGCTGTGTGGGAGGAGTGCATTTTAACATGCCTTAACAAAAAGCAACTTAAGCCTGTGGATTTCTCAGGCTTTGGTTGAGGTGCGACCGCAAAAGCTCCGTTTAATGAGATTCGTCACAGTTCAGTCAGTCGCTGCCTGCAACTCTGCTCGCATCCCATCGGCGATTCATGATTATCATGAAAACTAAGACTGAACATTTGAGAATTGTTACAGATGCCAATGCGGATGCATGCGGAATTTGTGTGCTCAGCTCAACGTCCTTGATGTCAACAACTGACACGTTATCCCTTTCCGCAAGGGAGACATAGGATGTGCTTTTACGTACACTTATTGATTTATATTTTGACCTTAGTGATGTTTATCGTTGGGTTTGAACATGACACTGCTACACTAAGACCACCCACGTCACTCGGTCATTATTATCACCTTGGTCTCTCCTATGCACAGGCCTTTGAGGCAGAGTTATCCTAGTGGAGGCCCAAGGCAGGTCCAGATGCAACTTGCCACTGAAGTTGTACATGGCCAGGAACTGACAAGAGGTTGCTTGTGTTCGGCGAGCCACATCACGGGCAGACACCCAACATGAAATTGTAGCACAGTGCGCAAACTACGTCACTACCACTCGACACACACAGAAACAAAGCAGCTTCCACTATATATCCACACAAAACTTTGGAGTTAGCAAGCACCTACTGAGGCCTCCCCAAAGCTGTTGTGTACGTACACACTGCACCAGGTACTCATTTAAGGCTGAGTTTGCCTAGAGGTCATCCGAGATGGTGTAGAAACCACAGGCCACTGCTGTTAAAATTAAACCAGAGTCACTGATTCTAGTGCTTGACGCAAAACACCACATACACAAAGACATTCTAATATAGCCAGACTGTTGTTTTTAGTGAGGGATGGCACGGTGTACGTTGGGGTGGTGTGGGTGGCCGCCTTTGTCTCCTCAGTGCTGTTTACACACTGCACCAGGTGCTCATTTAAGGCCGAGTTGAGCTGGAAGACACCCAAGACTGGTTCAGACATCACTCGACACCGATATTAGCCGTGGCCAAGAATCAAACTCAGGCCACCAGTTTCAGAGTGCAGCACATGAACCATTACGCCACCACTCCCCACACCGAACGTGTAACGGTATATCAAGGCGAAGTTCCCCTTTATACCATTATAGACTTGCAGTAAGCGCTTTTATAAAGCACCTACTGAGGTCAGCAGAGTGCGACAGGGGGGTGGTGTGGCCAGCACAACATACAAGCATGCAAGAATTGTGTGGCCAACCCGTTGCTTCTGTATTCTGTTACGCTTCGGTCTCTCGGCCCTCTGATGGTTCATCCTCCGGTCGCAGACAGCCCCACGAACTCTGCCTTCTCCTCTGCGGTGATGAACCTGGGGCTGGGTTTTGCTTGAGCTTGCGAGTTGGGTCGTTGACCAGTCCTTTCCGGTTGTTTTATGTCACAATACGCCCATCGCCATGTCAGACCTACAAATGACAACATCGGCATTCAAATGAAAGACGATGCAGGAAATTGCAAACTCACTTGTTGCTGTTCTCGGAAGTTAGCAAGGTTTCAGCTTGGATAGTTCATAAAAGGGTGATGACCATGCATAAAACAAGTGTTGGAGGCTGCTGCAGGCATTAGGAGTGTTGTACTGTACTATACTCTTTGCGTTCTTTTAAAAATCCAGTGTTGGATAAAAGCCTCCCCACACTGTCAGCCATTGGAATTGTTTGACCATACTTCGCCGCGCTGGTCCGTATGACTTCGTGAAAGGGGAGGGCCAAGACAGGTAGAAGTCACTCGCAACTGATGTTAGCAATGACTGGGGATCCAACGCAGGTGGCCGCAGTGCTATAACCACTCTGCCACAAAATATATCTGTGCAATAGGACGAGGGTAGTGGTTGCGTGCCTGTGTCACACCGCTTTGGAAGCAGGGGTTGGCAGACCACAGATTTGTGACACTCCAAACTCACTGGGCTGCAAGGAGGCCAGGATATGGCAGTACAGTACGCGGGTTCATGAACCCATCAGCGCAAACGTTTTAGCCTCAGCCTCATACAGGCAAGATCTCCCAGTTCTCCAGTTTTCTTCCATACGAAAACCACTCATTCAAACGCAAATCGGCCAAAAACATTCCAATGGAGCAGGACCCTCCTGAAAGAGACCTGAGACACAGTGTCTGGGCAATTGAGGTGGCCAGAAAATGACAGTAAATTAATTATTGAATCTGTGTGTGCAACACCCCTTGTAAGGCATGGCGGGTTTTCTCCCACATTAATCCATTCATTCATTTTGGGGAACCAGGGAAAAGTCCCACTATTCAGTGAGGCTTTCCTGTGCAAAATTATATGATTGTTGTTATGATTATAATTCAGTGTTACAATGGTGATGTAACATCTGTACACAACGCCAACGTGCCTCCTTCCATGCTGTATTTGACTAATTCTACAAACATCATTGGCTATCAGAATATGTATTTATACTGGAGGAATCCAATGGGCTATTAAGATATTTTTCATATATGTCCTGTGAGGGCGGATCAAAACCATGGTCTGTCCAATGCTGGATTAAAGCTTCAAGGTGCGATCATCCACATAGCACCCGCAAATTAGTTAATTTAATCGCTCCATCTCCTCTGTGGAAGGAACTCTCAGGGATAACCACACTACTTCTATTTACTTCAATCACGTTCAATCACAATCAAGTTCACCTTTGATGTTTATACTTCTATTTGGTATGGAAAAAAAAGGTTCAACACGGACTTAAAACGTATGTTATTGTAGTGTATGCAGCATAGATTATTATTTTTATTTCAACTAAGTGCTGTATGGTGCTGCATTATCAATAAGTTCATACTTAAACTATACTACAAAGTACACTCAATTACAAACCAACTGAACCAACAACTAATATACCGGTAACATGATAAGTTTTTGTACAAACAATGACTCAATAACCACAGAAAGCAATATCAAAGAGCACACAAGGCATAATTTTCGAATGAGAGTTCTTTAAAGACAAATATTTGTAATCAACATATAAAAAGCAAGCCATGTAAATAGAAGTCGGTTTGAAGACCCAGTAAAATTAGATGCCCTTGAAGTTGTTTTACCAATTCTATTAGGTAAAATCATTTATTTTCAATGCACACACTTTGATTTGCACTCAAAAGTAGAAAAGACATTATTTTGACCCCATAAAATTAAACAAATCGAAAGGAAACCACCCACTTTCATTCAGCACGTCAAATTTTATTTATTCTGGGGTCGAAATAATGCATTTTCTACTTTTGAGTGCAAAATCAAAGTGTGTACATTGAAAAACTTTTTTCAACCCAATTTATTTTAACGTTAATCTTGTACAAAATAATTTGTATATGTGCATATTCATTCTAAGATCTCAATCTAGACACTAACATTAGCTTCATGATTCTCTGGATAATTATAATATATTTGAAATAGTGAAATACAATTTGAAGAGGATCGGCGGGACCTGGCCCGGTTCTTTAAATTAAATCTTGAATTGTCACGCGAGACGAGTCTGCGCACAGCTCGTTTGGCTTCGTAGAAACGAATATATTAAGCGTCAACGATTTGAAAGAATATAATCAGACAGCAGGGCAAGTTAAATAAAGTAATAATTAAAAGCAGCCAGGCCACAAATTACCAAGGACTGGGAACATTCTGCGCTGTGGGTGGTGTCACGGCAGGTCAGCGGAGTCAACCTCACTCGAAACGTTGTCGTACGCAGACGTTAAAAAGGGAGTCGTGAAAACTCTTTAAGCCACCTCATTGGTCAGAATTTGATCACATTAGCCACGTATACGTAACAATATGTAGATTTGTAAGCGTGAAAATCTTGCTGGGTGGTGATGGGTTGAGGCATAAATCTACCAAATGGCGCGACCCAAAAAACAAATCCGGATAAACGTTCAAAACTGTATTAGAAATTTATTTTCGTAAAAAGTTGCCTCTAAATGGCATTATAAGTTAACCATGTGTCCTTATATACTGTCTCCGTCTCTCCACATACACGAAATTAAAGTATTTAATACAACCAAATCATTCATTCCCACGCTCTGGTTGGATGTGCATAATTTCGATTCAATACAGGAACAACTCTGGACCGGTTTCGACACGCAGTGTCTCATCAGCAGTGACGCTTGCTTGAACAATTGTTGATGGAACTAGCCTATGTTACAGATAACGAACATTCGTTACGCTGTGGGCCCTCTCACGAACATTTGTGTTCACTCCCACGACTGTAGTAACACGTTAAACCCATTGTCAGCACACGTTTCACGTTTATCAACGTTTACTTGAAACTAATGACGCACACGCACGCCGTGTGCCATGCTGCACAGCAGCCCCCTTTCGTCAAATCCACTGCTGGATGATTGAGGCGCTCCCCCCACGCCCCGTAGGAGTCGTGGATGCTACAGAATATGGGCCATACTTCACCACGCTGGTAACGCAGCATACGCCTGGGCGCATAGGAGCACAGTGCAACCGTGGATATCGCTGCACGGCCAACGCCAGCATAAGCAGCCGTGCAAAGCATATAACACTTCAACTACAACATTCAATTGCCTGCCGCACGCAATAAAGCATTATTGCGGCTGGCTTCGTTGCCGCCGTCTGATCAAACAGCGCAATACGAGAAGCCCAGAGCGCCAAATGTTTGATGTTGTTGTTGTTGATCTCGCAAACCCCCTCGCGCACGACGAGAGACGGAACGAAAACGACAAAAGCGGCTGGGGCGATGCTCGCCCGTGATCACATCTCCTAGCGAAGGCGGAAGGCGGCCGTGGGGGAAAAAAAAACCTGTGGCGGAGCGGCGTCTCTCGGCTGGCGTTGCGTAGTCGTAGTCGTCGACCGCCGAATGAATCGCCGAGCGGAGGGGGAGAGGCGCATCTCAACCACCCCCCCCTTCGTTTCGCGGGGCTCCCACACACGGGCACACGGCTCCTCACGCCAGCTGAAGATGGCCGCTCCGTGTCGGCGGCCGAGGACGTGGGGAGGGAGACGGGGGGAGGGAGGGTGTGTGTGTGTGTGAGTAGCGAGGAGGGCGCCCCTCACGCACGGTAACTTCCCTCCACCTCCTCGGCGCAGCGCAACATCTTTGCCACAGTCGAGCAAAAGCGTGTCGCTGTTACTTCTTCCCCTAGCGATTCGTATTTAGCACCGCCGCATCGCGACCGTGCGCGCATCCACGCGCGCTGGGCTTTGCCGCTACGCAACGCTCCGCTCGCCGCGGGCGATTTGTTGTTGGTGGGCGGGGCGTGGGGGTTTAAAGGGGCGGGGATTCGCGTGGGGGTGGTCGGAGCTGAGAGCGCCTGAGGAAGGGGCTTAGTTGGGGTGGGCGGGGGCTTGTCGCCGGGGATTGGGGGAGGGTTGTGTTTGGGGGGAGTGGGCGTGGCTTAATTATGGGCGGTGCTTGGTCGCGGTAGGCGGGGCTTGGTGTGGGTGGGCGGGGCTGGTGCGGTTGAGGGGCGGAGTTTAGTTTGCAGGCGAGATGTTTAGTGGGTGTAGGTGGCTGAACTGGATGTTTTATTTTGGCGTAAGTCGAAGTTACTGGGGAATACCTTCTCATTCTCATTGTCGAGAGGCAGCTGGTTGCGCCAAAGAAACCTGGTTGCTACGTCAGAAACAAAACATGAACAAAACCATCAGCGCTTTGAGATCCTTGATGAAAATCGCTTCATAAATTATTATTTTCAACTAACAGCATTTTTATTTAAAGCTTTCGTGACTGCAGTGATTCATATTCTTGGTTCTTTCGGTAAAGTCACGGTGAAGGGAAACAATAAAATAATACAAATATATATATAAAACAATGTTGTTTTATTGCTTTATATATTAACATGTTAACGTGGTCACGTGGTTAACGTGGTCACGTGTTTTGATAGTGGTGGTGGTGATGCTGATGCTGCATTGGCAGTGGTGCAAATACACAATTAACAAAGTAAACTTCAACACGTTCGTTAAGAGCAACACTGTGTGGCCTTGAAAATAAAATACATTATACAATAGGCGACGTTTCAGGCAATAGCCCTTGTTCATAGCGCATATAAATGGGCCACAGAGATAGCGTGGAGACTGCACTGAACACCGTGATGTTTCCTTTTCGTAGTTATATATTCATAACTTCATATTCAAATGCAATTTTTTTGTTTTAAACGCTTTCCTTTCCAGTCTCGCTATGTGCTACAAAGAAGGGCAATTGCCCAAAACGTCGGATATGATATACAGTAAAACCTTGGATTGCGAATAACTTGGTCTGCGAGTGTTTTGCAAGACGAGCAAAAATTGTATATAAATATTAATTTGATATACGAGCGAGGTCTTGCAATACGAGTAGTAGTACGTATACGCTTTGTCTGCCGAGCGCCACGTGATCACAACTGATATACGAGTGCTTTGGATTACAAACACGTTTCCGGAACGAATTATGCTCGCAATCCAAGGTTTTACTGTATAGTGCTCTTTTTCAACGGTTTTACTTAACTTGATTCCTCTGTTTGTCGTGGTCAAATCTTGTCATCAAAATTTCGTCCATTTCCCGTTGTCCAATCAATTCCACATTTTGCACGCCTACTCAGATCCGGTGACAATGCATGCCTGTGTAGAGGTGCTAACTACTCACTGTTCGCTAACCTGCATTGCCACTAGGTATCAAAGGGGCAGTGCAGCGTTACCTCTCTGTGTGAATAACGGTTGGGGTCAGACGAGGTGAAGCGGATCGTAGCCACAGTTTGGTAAGAACCAATCAGACAGTGCCACGTGGGAATGTGGGATTGGTTAGACCTGGCCACAAACGGGTATAAGAAGGGTGACCCAACAGAGCATAGGGAGTTCTCTCCCTACACAAAGACCGAAGCCCGGGCTGAACATAGACAGGACCCTGGACCCAGCCTTCCAGCCCTTCTGAGGGCTAAGGCTCAGCGTATCCAGTGGTCAAGACCCACCGGGCCAGCGGTGGGTCAGATAGCCTCCCCTAGCTCCCAGCCGGAGGACTCTAGGATAGCGGTAGATGCGAGAGTAAGTCCCGCCAAGACAGGAGGCTGTATCTCCTTAGGTTAGCAAGAGAGCTGTGTGTAGGTCACGCTAAGTCCGGAGGCTGTACCTTCTTAGGGTATCGGGTGAGGGGACCGTATACCCCTCTGTGTGTTAAGGACTGTATAAGAGAATAATTACAATAAACAGAGTGTGCCTCATAAGAAGTTTATTCGTCATTATCAACACTACACCTGTATCAAAATCGGTATCAATTAATTCGCTACTTTAAAGCAATTCACATTTTGTATGGACGCCTCATTATTATTTATATATTAATGTGTTGCTCAAAAACGCCGTTGTCCCTCAACTGTGGAATCGGCTCGCACAAAACGCGGGCGCCACGTGTCTCAGGCGCCATTGACGTCCTACCTAAAGACCGCGAGTTAAACGAAGTTGTTAATAAAACCGTGGTTGTTTTTAAAACAACTTTTTAAAACGAGTTTATTCCTTTTAAGGCCACAAACGTGTTGCATTTTTCGTATTGTAGGGCGGAGCTTGATTGAAGATGAGTGTGGGCTGAGGGTGATTCTGATCCGGCCTACACGATTCGATATTCGCGACTCCATGTCACGATTAAAATAATCGATTATTTGCATCTGACGTCGACAAAGTTTTTCGCGATATATCGTAAACTATCGTCGTCTGCGCTCGTTGATTGGTGGAGTAGCAACAACTGCACGTGGCCAGTAGACCTCGACAATGGTATTTCATTAATTAGCTCCTGAACATATATCCATACGCAATAGAATGGCGATATCATCTTTTACGATACGATATTACTTCGCACGATACGTATCCCAAACACATTCTCCTGCGGAGGGAGCTCTGGTAGGAACGTTGGGTTGCTCGGTCAATGGCCACGGTCAACGGCGGCACCACCACGTGGTGTATTCCGCACAATATGCCCGACTGTGAGGGCGGGCACAAGCCGGCGTGAGTAGGTTAAACGTTGAGTTTTATAAGGGCACCACGGGGTGACCAGCCCCTCACCCACCCAGCCCCACCCCTCCCACCCTCCACCAAGCCCCACCCTCCTCACCCAGCCCCTCCCCACCCTCCCCACCCAGCCCCTCCCCCACCCTCCCCACCCAGCCCCACCCTCCCCACCCAGCCCCTCCCCACCCAGCCCCTCCCCACCCAGCCCCTTCCCACCCTCTCCTCCCCACCCAGCCCCTCCCCACCCTCCCCTCTCCACCCAGCCCCACCCCTCCCACCCCCCACCCAGTCTCACCCTCCCCACCCAGCCCCTCCCCACCCTCCCCTCCCCACCCAGCCCCTCCCTCCCCACCCCAGCCCCTCCCCACCCTCCCCTCCCCACCCAGCCCCACCCTCCCCACCCAGCCCCTCCCCACCCTCCCCTCTCCACCCAGCCCCACCCCTCCCATTTTTGGATGCACGATGGACAGACACAATATTCCCCTGTGGGCTGGTGTAACCAGAGGTTCCTACCAGTATAATAGCAATGACATCAATATAACTTTGTAATGGTGATTCAGATGTTAGTTTTATTCTTCTGTATTTTGCGCTTTGCTGTACAAATAAAGATGAGCTCAACATTATTCAACCGCAGTTCACTCAATATGAGCCTCGAAAGGAAATTTTAATAATTGTCACAATCCGGGGATCATCACCTGACCACCGTAGCATCGATGGCATCGAAACCGGCCTCCCCACACTCACCTCTTCCCAGCCTCCTTTTCAACCTAGACGGAGCATCGTGGTGAAGTATGGTCAAACATTTCCCGTACATTCCATGGTGTGCAAAGGCCATCGTCCAAAAGTTTGTTGAGAAAGTGTTCTAAATTGCAATTTACATACAAGGCGTAAAAAAACATTTCATGCTGAAAACACTCAACTGTCTTGAGAAATATTGAAAACAAATTTTATTCCATTCAATATTTTTCCACAAGAGTAATTTGTATCGTGCGTGTGCATCCTTTTTAATCCACCGCTGGATGATGGCCTCCCCACGCCGTGTGGGCCATGTTGAGTTTGTGACCTTACTTCACCACGCGGGTCATTACTCATTGGTAAGAGCAGGGAGCATAGACGTGAAGGGCATTGTACCTTGCAATGTATTTCACTGCACTGCCCTATAATCTTGATTTGAAGCTTTCGTGACTGCTGGAATCCATACTCTTTGGTTCTTTCGGTGAAGTCACGTGGGTGTAAAATAAAATAAAACAAATCACGACGTTTCGGGTGCAACACAGGCGTCCGTCATCAGGTGGTACAACCACAGCAAGAAAAAAATGCTGAAGTGGGCGAGAGAGCTGCCGTGGCACGAGGTTATAAAGGTAAGAAAGGGGGGAGGAGCAAGGGGGGGAGAGAGAGAGAGAGTGGGGTGGGCGCTGCGTGAGCGCCAGGGAGAGAGAGGACATGAGGCCGTGGGGGGGGGGGAAGTGGGCGGGGCTGGAAGTGGGAGGCTGGGAAAGCTGGGGATGCGGGGGGATATTAACTCGGAAAAATAGCCAAGTACCCGGCAGATATGATGGAAACAACCATAAACAGTGAAGGTTTTACCTGGTTAATAACATCCTTCCAATGATTGCTCAATTTGTATCCATCTTCTCGGTTGAAGTGATGTCTATATATCTGGATGGCTTCATGAACAAACCTTTGATAGTAGCCCGAAGGTTTGCAGAGTACCTTGGTCTCGGAAAAAAACAATATCATGCGAGCCCACAGCGTTATAGCAATGGTCAGCCACGGCAGAGGTATTGGTTATGCCGTGTTTCAGATCTGCCTTGTGTTCGCGAACACGGTCCGAGCCATGTCGTTTCGTTTCCCCAATGTAACTGCTGCCGCAGGTACAACTCAGTCGTGATTTGTTTGATTTTATTTCTAACTACGTGACTTTACCGAAAGAACCAAAGAGTATACTGCCCCATAATGCCCACCACTTGGTACCACAAATCCTATGACACCCTGTGTCTGTGCATGGTGGTTACCCATCCAAGCATCATGCAGGCTCAAAGGTACTTGAATTGAATGTTGAATGCGTTCACAAAATCACAAAAAGCAGGGTCGTTACAAATGCATGTTTATTCTCAATTAGCCACAAGGTATAAAAAAAAGAAACAATATTTCTCCTACAATTTCATACAATTCTTTTAACTAAGTTTCACCTTTTTCCGTTTTTTACGTTACCCTGCACGCATTTAACATTTATCGCAGTGCAGAAATTGTTAGTCCCCATATTTAATTATATCTACGTTAGATGCT